ATCCTGAGATCATGACCTGAGCCAAAGTTAGGCTCTTAACCCTCTGAGCCACCCAGGCACCCATTGGATTATTTTTTTAAGTAATCTCTACACCCGATGTGGGGCCCCAACTCAGGACCCCGAGATCCAGAGTAGCAGCTCCACCCAGTTGGCCAGGTGCCCCTGTACACATACTTTTAGAGAGTTTTAGGTATGTGGTTGCCTGGTAGAAAAACGCCACATTTTAACAATGGTGAAATCTGGGAAACCTGAATTGAAATGCTCCTTAACTGGGAAGTTGACATTCAACCACATTCCTTTTTATCTTTCTCATTCCACTAAGATTTAATTGTACAGTCATCTACTGATAGGATGCTTTTAACTAGTCAGAATTTGCTTTCCCGAAAAGACAAAACAAAACACACACACACACACACACACACACCCAGAATGTGGTAGATTTTGTCATGACCAAGTGCCCAAGTTCTCATTGTTATTCAAAAGCTTCAAGAATCAAAAAGACAAAACAACACACCCACACCCACACCCACACCACACCCACACCTACACACACACACGCACACCCACACACCTACACACACACAACCCCCCCCCCCCCCCCCCCCCCCGCCTCAATCTGTGATTCGTAGTTTCGAGCTGTGTGCTAGAATGGCTAGCAGCTGCTAACTACCGGGGCTGGCGTCTGCGTCCGTCCAGGTATTCGGGTGAATGGCCAGGTACCGTTCTCAGTGCCCGGTGTGCACAGTGGCCGACAAGACCGGGAAAGAAGTGAGCAGCTCAACTGTCAAAACTGGGGTGACGGGGGCAGAAACGGCCTTTAATCTGCTTCCTTGTTCGCTGGCTAACGGCGAAGAACCGGTTCTTTGCGGACGGTGGCTGATGGATCTCACAACCGCAGATCAACCTTCCCAGAACCAGGAGGGCGCACCTCAGGTCTCGCGAGAGCCGGGGTGGCCCCCTCGGCGACGCCGTAGGCGGGGCCAGCGGGCGCGTTCCTCTGGGCGGGCGGTTTGGGGGCTTACTCGGACCAGCCGAGGGCGCGGGGCTCCGGGGTTCGGGGCTCGCCCCCCGCTCCGGGCAGGCGCGCCTATGGCGTTTGTAAGGTGACGCTGCGCTCACCGACTTTCTCCGGGGGCGGAGGAAGCACCCATGAACCCTTCGGCGACCTTCCTCGTCGGGCGCCAGGTGAGCGGCCGCCGCCGGCTCAGCGTCTCCGCTGGAGCGTCGGGGTGCGAGTGGACCGCGAGCCTCGCGGGGCGGGGAGCACTCTGGCCGAACCGGGGTGGTTTTTAAGGAACGGTTTCTGCTTAAAATGTAAAGCGATACACAGTACGAAGAGGAGAAACGGAGCGTCGCATCTGGTCCCTTACCTTAGTAAGAACGACATCCGGCCCAGGCGCCGAGACGGGCGGCGAGTAACTAGGTGCTCACTTTTTAACGACACTTGGGCGTTTGGAGAGCAGCTTTTCTGTGCGCCGCCTCGCTTCCTGCCCTTAATTTCCTTCACGGTAACATGCGAGGGGACGAGCACTCTCGCAACTCCGTTTTACCAGAAAGTGTTGAAAGCGAGCTTTGCATTTATGAGTGTACGAAGAAAAGTGAGCTTTGCATTCATCAGTACGGTGAAATGAGCTTTTTTTTTTTTTTTTTTGGCATGTTTGGCGAATTGCCTGTTTTCCCATCCTACAGTATGTGCTCCTTGCCGGCGCGCTCATTACTGCATCCCCAGGCACTTGGCGCTCAGCAAATACTTGTTCAGTGAATCAGTGAATTAACGAATGGTTTACCAAAGACTTAGAATTTAAATCTTGTGATTTGGAATCACTTGATCCAAATTTTAGTTTAGTTACTGTAATTCTATAACTAACTGTAATTCATTCGTCATTATTTATTTACAAACCTTATTTTTCAGAAAGCAGTAATGATACAAATGGGCCTCTCGTGAAGTTTTAACTACGATTTTTAAGATAGAATTCTTTTTTTTTTTTAAAGATTTTATTTATTTATTTGAGAGAGAGAGAATGAGAGAGAGTGAGTACATGAGAGGGGGGAGGGTCAGAGGGAGAAGCAGACTCCCTACCGAGCAGGGAGCCCGATGCGGGACTCGATCCAGGGACTCCAGGATCAGGATCATGACCTGAGCCGAAGGCAGTCGCTTAACCAACTGAGCCACCCAGGCGCCCCAAGATAGAATTCTTGAAGTAACACTTTCAGTTCTTTTATTTCACGGATGGGGGCAGTACCATATTTCAAAATGTGCTTCACAATCAATAATAGCCAATGTTTGGAAAAACTATATCCCTTTCACGTGTTTAAGTTGGTATCTTAAAATTTTTCCTTAAAAGAAAAATAACGATAGCTAATGTTTATTGAGTGCTTACCCTGTGCCAAGACATGTGGAATGCTTTACACAGTTTATCTTGCTTAATCCACACAACTAAGAAGTTGAAGTGTCGTTATTACCATGTTACAGGTGAGGAAACCAAGGCTTAGAGAGGTTAAGTAATTTGTGCAATGTTATAGAGCCACTAAAGTGATTAATTCTGGATTCACATTTAGGCCAGACCAACTTCACGATCTAGTCTTTAAAATGACATACGCGGGCGCCTGGGTGGCTCAGTTGGTTAAGCGACTGCCTTCGGCTCAGGTCATGATCCTGGGGTTCCAGGATCGAGTCCCGCATCGGGTTCCCTGCTCAGCGAGGAGCCTGCTTCTCCCTCTAACCCTCCCCCCTCTCATGCTCTATCTCATTCTCTCTCTCAAATAAATAAATAAAATCTTAAAAAAAAAAAAAAAGACACGCATAAAGGGAATTACTGTAGATAATTTTATTAGGTATGAAATGGCATCATGGTGATATAAAAAATGTTCATTTTTAGAGATGCATGCCAAAATATGTAAGAGTTTTTTTAACAACAAAAAGAGAAAGGAAAATTGAAACAGATGTGGCAGAATCTTGATAATGGTAGAACTTAGGTACTGAACATAAGAGTTTATTGTACAATTCCCTTATCTTCTGTGTATGTTTGAAAATTTTCCTTTATAAACAAGTGTGTTGAGTTTGGACCAATCTGGTAGATTGAGTATATGTGCTAGATGTTATGAGAATTCTTTACATTCAAACAGTAATTATTTCATGTTTTCCTTTACTTGATTGAACCAGAATTGCTCTGGCAAAGTGTGGGGTAATATTGTTGACTGATACAAGGAATGGGTTGACAGCAAAGACAAAAATGCCAAAATGAGTTTATTTGTGATTAGCCAATGAAGGTTTTACAAACAGTCCCACTTTTATTTAAGAGTGGCATGTGTGGTATGACAGAAAATTATAGAGGCAGAGTACACAGTAGGCATGAACTCGTTTTAAATATACATAATTTTGATGCCATGTTATAAGCAGTGAATAAAAAATAATTTAGCTGTCTTGAATTGGCAGCAAAAGAAGATACAATTATTTGGGAAAAAAATGCTTCAGCTGATTTATGTTATTGATTAGTTCTATTGTGATGTAAAACCACTTTCTCTGTCTAGAACATCGGGTCAGAAGTTGAGATTTCCACTATCGAGAAACAACGGAAAGAGCTGCAGCTGCTTATTGGAGAATTAAAAGATCGCGATAAAGAGCTCAATGATATGGTTGCAGTACATCAGAGACAACTTCTTTCATGGGAAGAGGATCGACAGAAAGTATTGACTTTGGAAGAACGTTGCAGCAAATTAGAGGGTCAGAAATACATTAGCAGTATCTGTTATATATCTCTATGTGCCAGCATATTCAAAGGGCTCATGGGTTAGACACAAATATATTTATTTTAGAATAAATATTTTTATTTGAGAGAGAGAGCGCGCACGCACATGTGAGCAGGGAGAGGGGCAGAGGGAGAGGGAGAGAATCCCCAAGCAGACTCCCTGCTGAGCATGGAGCGCAATGCAGAGCTCAGTCCCAGGAACCCAGGATCACGACCTGAACTTAAAACAAGAGTCAGATGCTCAACCGACCGCCACCCAGGCACCCGAAACACAAATGTATTTATTTTTTTTTTTAATTTTTTTTAAATTTTTTTTTAAGATTTTTTATTTATTTCATTCTGATCCTATTTTTTTCCCAATAATTTAGTGCGGGGTTACTGCCCTTCAAGAAAAAATGTATTTAAATATTAAATACATTAGGGGAAAAAAGCGGGGTGCACGGGAAAGATAAGAGATAAAATATCTCAACACAATCCCTGCTGCCCTGGAGTTTAGTTTAATTGAAGATGGAGGCCTTTATGAACACTCAAAATTGAACAAACACAATGTGAGTTGAAGTTGGGCAGACAGTTTAAATGTAGAGAGGGTGCTGGAGAGAGCTCCAGTTAACCTGAAGTGTCCCGAGTGAATCTGAATGAAATTAGTTTTGAGCTAGAATATGAATAGAAATGCCATAGGACTAGCCATTTCTGTTGAACTGACTCAAGGATTTTAAATTTTTGGTATTGAACTTGATCTTAAGTATCTAAAACAGTCACCGTTTAAAAATATAGCAGTCTCAAAAATGGCTTGCAAAAATTTTTCTTGTACCATATTTTAATTCTGTCATCCCTTTAGTGCTGCTCTAAGGTCTGAATGTTCTAGTGACACTACATCAATGCCAGACTGTATTAGAAGGGAAAACACTAGATCTGTTTAATAGATAACTCCTTTTTTTATCTTCTGTTACCCAAAGGATTCTTAAACATGACAAACTAAATATGCATAATTTTCCATTTCTTTGATGATCATTTGATTTTACTCTGACCATACCCAGCCACACACATACACGCATCATGTTTGATTTGATTGCACATTAGATGTAATATAATATCTTGCACAAATGTGTTAAAGATGAAGATGACATTGCATATAGCCAGCAGTATCTGGTTTTAAAATAAGAAACTTGAGGGGCGCCTGGGTGGCTCAGTCGGTTAAGCATCTAACGATTTCAGCTCAGGCTTGATCTCAGGGTCATGAGTTCAAGCCCTGTGTTGGAGCTCCAAGCCCAGCGTGGAGCCTACTTAGAAAAAAAGATTCTCATTCTCATTAGTAACTAGGGAAATGCAAATTAAAACCGTAATGAGGGCGCCTGGGTGGCTCAGATGGTTAAGCGTCTGCCTTCGGCTCAGGTCATGATCCCAGGGTCCTGGGATCGAGTCCCGCATCGGGCTTCCCGCTCCTTGGGAGCCTGCTTCTCCCTCTGTTTCTCTCTGTCTCTCATGAATAAATAAAATAAAAATCTTTAAAAAAAAAAAAAACCGTAATGAGATACCGTTTACACTTATCAGACCAGCAAAAATGATCAGGTATTGGTAAAGATATCAGGTATATATAAAGGTAGCAGGTATTTTGGAGCCAAGGGAAGACTCATTCACTGCTGGTGGGAGTGTCATTTGGTACAACTACTTGGAAAATCATTTGACAGTATCTAGTAAAGTTAAAGATACACATAGCTCATGGCCCCACATTTCCACTTCTGGGAATATACCCATGGGTCAGAGTACAAGTGAATGACCTAAGGATCTTATTAATATGTAGATTATGATACAGTAGGTCTGGGGCCTGAGTCTGCATTTCTAACAAATTACCAGGTGATGTCAATGCTGCTGGCTCAAGGACCCCATTTGAGTAGAAAGGCTCTACAAAAACTCTTGCAAAATTACACCAAGATACACATTTAAGAATATTCAGAGCAACATTGTTCATAATAGCTGTAAAGTGGAAACAACTGAAGTGGCTACCAATAGTAGTAAATACATTTTGGCATAATCATGTAATGGGGTATTATGTAGCAACAACAGTGCACAAACACCAGTCACATGCAACAATGTGGATAAATCTCAGGATCATCTTAGGTGGAAAAAAGTGAAGGGAAGAACTCATAGAGTATAATCCCAATTATATACGGTTCAAATCAAACTGTGTTTTAGGGATGTGGTCATAGGTGGTAACACTATAATTAAAAAGCAGGCAAATGGTTAAGATCAGGACAGTGGTTGGGAAGGTGGGAATTGGGAGACATCGTGTTTAGGAAGTGACATCCGTGGGGCTTCTGGGTTGCTGACTATTCTGTTTCTATACTATCCAGTATCGTGGATTCCATAACACATTCTTTAAAAAGAATTATCCTTTAAAAAATTATTTAACTCACACAGTATTTTATTTTATTTTTTTAAAGATTTTATTTATTTATTTGACAGAGAGAGAGAGACAGCGAGAGAGGGAACACAAGCAGGGGGAGTGGGAGAGGGAGAAGCAGGCTTCCCACTGAGCAGGGAGCCCGATGCGGGGCTTGATCCCAGGACCCTGGGATCGTGACCTGAGCCGAAGGCAGACGCTTAACGACTGAGCCACCCAGGCATCCCATAGCACACTTAACCTTTTAATTGTGTGTTTGAAATGCATTTTAAGCTTCAGATCTGATCAAAGGGTGGTTATTGATGAAATTTCCCTCAGGTGAACTACATAAAAGAACTGAAATAATCAGGTCACTCACAAAGAAGGTAAAAACCCTTGAATCTAATCAGATTGAATGCCAAACGGTTCTTCAGAAGACTCAGCTACAGCTTCAGGAAATGGCTCAGAAGGCAACCCATTCCTCTCTTCTCTCTGAAGACCTTGAGGTTGGTTTTATTTTGTGATAAGATTCTCTAGCCCAAATTCTGTTTCAGGTATTGAGAAATTAGATTTAAATGTTTCCATTAAAATGTATGTGTGTGTATGAAAGTCGATCCGTCCATCTGCCACCATAGTTTTGTGTTCATTTTATGGCTTTGGTTGGCTGCACAGTGCTGAGTTGTCTGGGAGATAAACCTCATTACCACCTTTTCTGACTGTCAGCCCATTTGGTCTGGGAGCATCTGTCGCTTTATCAACAATGGGTTATTTTAGAAAGTCTCAAAGTCTGAGATGAATAGCATCAAATTTTGGTAGCTTCACATGATGCTTTCTAAATGTGCCTTATCTGATATGATAAACAGTATCCACATCATGTTAGTGGCACATGGGGAATAAGATTTGTAGGACTGATTTTTCACTTTTCAGTTCTAACTGGTCATCAGATATTTTTTGAACTCATGTTTTATGAGAGGCACAGAGAGCCATTATTTTTGTTATAGCCTTTGTATTATGCTTGTTTCATAATGATAATGCCTTTTTTATTCTTTCAGGTTATTATTCTAGACAGTTTCTAGCTATAAAATAAGTAAAAACTATTCTATTGATATGTTGAATTAAAAAATGAAAATGTAGGGGGTGCTTGGCTGACTCAGTCAGTGAGGCATGTGACGCTTGTCCTTGGGGTCATGAGTTCAAGCCCCACATAGGGCATAGAGCTTACTTTAAAAAAAAAGAAAAGGAAATGTATGAGAGAGAATGAGCAAGATCTCTGGTGTCTTTTCTTACAAGGATTCTAATCCCATCATGAGGGCCCCACTCATGACCTCTTTTACACCTAATTATCTCTCAAAGGAGCATCTCCCAAGTAATACCATATTGGAGGTTAGGGCTTCAATATATGCGTTTTGGGGGGATGCAATTCAGTTCATAGCAGGAAGTTTTTTTTTTATTAATAAACTTTATTTCTTAGAGCAGTTTTATGTTCACAGCAAAACAGAGTAGAATGCATAAATTTCTCCTATACCCCCTGCCTCCACCACCAAATGCAGTCTCCCCTACTGTGGACATTCTGCACCCCGGTAGTACATTTGTTATAATCAGTGAATCTGTTAACACATCATTGTCACCCAAAGTCATAGTTTACATTGGGGTTCACGATTGGTGTTATATATTTTGTGGGTTTTGACAGATGTGTAATGACATGTATCCACCATTGTAGTATTGTACAGAATAGTTTCACTGCCCTAAAAATCCTGTGTTCCATCCCTGTCTCTCCTAACCTTTGGAACCACTGACCTTTTTACCATCTCCATAGTTGTGTCTTTTCCAGAATGTCCTATAGTTGGAATCGTATAGTATGTACCTTTTTCAGATTGGCTTCTTTCACTTAGTAGCATGTATTTAAATTTCCTTCATGGAGATACTATTTAAAAAGCCTCATTATTCTTTTTTCCCAACCAATAAATATATCATGTAGTTCTGGGGTTAAAAAAAAACACCCCAAAAACCTGATAAATGGGAATACCCCAATATGAAGTGAAGGTCTTTCAACGTAGAGTAAAAATTATACACACACACACACACACATATATGCGCATAGAAGTTCACTAATGCTACTTTAACCAACTGAGCCACCCAGGCGCCCCCTTTTTTTTTTTTTTTTAAAGATTTTGTTTATTTATTTGAGAGAGAGAATGAGAGACAGAGAGCATGAGAGGGAGGAGGACTAATGCTACTTTATTTCAGCAAAGGAAGTCTCTTACTAATCCAATTTTCATTCATTTATTTTCTTTTTTGCCAACCTAGAATTATACATAAGAGAGATTGGGAAATAGACATTTATAAGCATAACCAATATGATTCAGGAGGGCAAACATAAGCATTGAGAGGATGCTAGAGGTAATGGAGAGAAAGATTTGTGTTTTTTTTTTTTTGATGACTGCTTACTTGGCTCACTTTGTTACTAAATAAAAGTTAAAGAGAAAACAAAACAGAATGAGCACAGACTGCGGCTAATGCTAGTAATGAAAACTTTTAAATGACTCACTTAGTATTTTATGTGTTGTTCCCTTGTAGGCTAGAAATGAAAATCTCAGCAACACATTAGTGGAACTTTCTGCCCAGGTAGGACAATTACAAGCTCGAGAACAGGCTCTCACTACAATGATAAAGCTAAAGGTAATTCAAAATAATAATACCTTCATTTGCCAGGGCACTTTGTACTTTACAAAGTATGGTCACATACATTATCTTACTTAAGTCCCATTGCAAATGAGATGGTAGAGCTACCAACGTTGCTGTCTCTTTTAAAATTCTCATTTTAGGGGGGCCCCTGGGTGGCTCAATCGGTTGGGCATCTACCTTTGGCTCAAGTCATGATCCCAGGGTCTTAGGATCGGGTCCCACATCACACTGTCTGCTCAGCGGCAAGCCTGCTTCTCCCTCTGTGATCTTTCTCACTTTCACTCACTCTCAAATAAATAAAATCTTTAAAAAAATAAAAGAAAATAGGGGCGCCTGGGTGGCTCAGTTAAGTGTCTGCCTTCAGCTCAGGTCATGATCTCAGGGTCCTGGGATTGGGCCCCGCCTCCGTCTCCCTGCTCAGCGGAGAGCCTGCTTCTCCCTCTCCCTCTGCTGCTCCCCCTGCTTGTGCTCTCTCTTTCTCTTTCTTTCTCTCTCTGTCAAATAAGTAAATAAAATCTTTTAAAAAAGTAAAATTCTCATTTTAGGGGCACCTGGCTGGCTTAGTGGAGCATGTGACTCTTGATCTTGGGGTTTGGGTTCCAGCCCCACATTGAGTGTAGAGATTACTTAAAAATAAAAAAAAAAACTTTTTTTTTTTGTTAAAGATTTTATTTATTTAACAGAGAGAGACACAGCGAGAGAGGGAACACAAGCAGGCTCCCCGCCAAGCAAGGAGCTGGATGCGGGGCTCGATCCCAGGACCCTGGGATCATGACCTGAGCCAAAGGCAGACGCTTAACGACTGAGCCACCCAGGCGCCCCCCAAAAAATTTTAAAAAATCTTAAAAAAAAAAGGGGGGGGCGCCTGGGTGGCTCAGTCAGTTGAGTGTCTGACTCTTGATTTTGGCTCAGGTCATGATTTCATGGGTTGTGGGGTTGAGCCCCACATCAGGCTCCAGGCTAAGTGGGGAGTCTGCTTGAAGAATCTCTCCCTCTGCCCCTTCCCCTACTTGCGCATGCGTGCGCGCGCTTTCTTTCTCAAATAAATAAAATAAGATTCATTTTAGAAATGTTGGAAACAAGTTTAAAATGATGTCCCCAAGACATTGAGAGAGGAGACAGGACTCCACTTTTGGTCTCTGTCTCTGAGGCTCATTCCATGGTTTAGCATGTCTGGATTAACTTGTTTTCTTCCAAGGTATCCAGTGTTAGTTCTCACAAAGTCGTTGATGATCAGATTGCTTGTTAATGTTCTTTGCTTTTCTTTTTTAATGGAGAGAAAAACTGTTAGCGATCCAGCAGTTGCTAGAGCTGCTACCATGTCATGATAATGATTGACTGACAGTCTCTTCTGCTATAACATGTGTTTGGCAGCTGGTGAATAGGGAATGATTTAGGCATAATGGGACCCTCATGCTAGTTCATATGTGCTTTCTCCCTGCATTTTAAAGTGGTCACGGGCAAGCTTTCTTAAAATTGAAGATAAAATATTAAAGTCTATGGAATTGTCTTTAGTCAAATAGTGACCAATTTAGTGGCTTTAATAACTACTCTGGTTTCCGTTGTGGCAAACTCCTGGTGAGGCTGTGAGTGCTAATGAAGATGCTGGAAAAGAATGATTGACTGGTGTGTCGGCCCTGGCTTTTGCTGAACTGTTTGCATACTTAAATGGGCCTGTTGTTTTTTGCTACCAGTCTAATCATGAAGTTCCATTGATCTGCCAACCCCATTTTTCCCATAAAATCTTCCTGGTGTGAGATGTGCAGACCATGAGCATCTTCAGGAATGCATATATGGTGCTATAGCAGAAACACTTGTCCTTAAGCAGGAGGAAAAAACCTGCTACTAATAACTATTATATATTATAGCTATTATAATAATAGTTATTCCATGTGAGTGGGGGAGGGAGGAAATTTTACTTAATATATATATATATTTTTAAAGATTTTATTTATGTATTTGACACAGGGAGAGACAGCGAGAGAGGGAACACAAGCAGGGGGAGTGGGAGAGGGAGAAGCAGGCTTCCCAGGGAGCAGGGAGCCCGATGCGGGGCTCGATCCCAGGACTCTGGGATCATGACCTGCGCTGAAGGCAGACACTTAACGACTGAGCCACCCAGGCGCCCCTGATTAGTTGAAACTTAAAAATCTTACAGAACAGTCTTCAAATTTGGTTCTTAGGACAAAGATATTATCGAGGCCGTCAATCACATTGCAGACTGCTCAGGAAAATTTAAACTCTTAGAGCATGCCTTGCGTGACGCGAAGATGGTGGAGACTTGTATTGTGAAAGAAAAGCAAGATTACAAGCAGAAATTGAAGACACTTAAAATTGAAGTCAATAAACTGAAAGGTAAGGAAGAGACATCAATTCAAGCATTTCACCTTGGGCACATACTTCTTCATTTGGGTTCACTTCATCTTGTGATTAAGAGGTCTGTTGCTGGCCTTAGATCCTACCATGAAATGTTCATTTCATTTGTACAGAATTATGCTACAGTATTCATGTTATAAGGTAAATAACAGACTTGGAGGAAACTGTATAATGCGTTGTATTTTTAAAATAAACTGCCTTTGCTGTAGCGGTTAGTTATTGTTAATTTATGCTTCATAACAACCAGCAACAACATCTTGGTGGTGTGCACCCAGAAGCATCTGATAAGCTCAGGTATCAGCCCAACGGGGATTGACTTATCCTGGTTGGGCCCAGCTGAGCCACTCCTCTGGGGCAATTCTGCTTCCCATATCTCACTTCTCACCAGTAAGCTGGCCTGGGCACTTTTCTCCACGGTGAAGGCAGAAACTTTTTTTTTTTTTTTTAATTTTTAAAAAAGATTTTGGTTATTTATTTGAGAGAGGGAGCACCCATAAGTAGACAAAGGGGCAGAGGGAGAGAGAGAAGCAGACTCCTCACTGAGCAGGGAGCCCGATGCGGGGCGTGATCCCAGGACTCTGGGATCATGACCTGAGCCGAGGCAGATGCTTAACGACTGAGCCACCCAGGCATCCCCGAAGGCAGAAACGTAAGAGAAGAAGCAGGGGCACCTGGCTGGCTCAGTTGGGAGAGCATGCAACTCTTGATCTCAGGGTCGTGAGTTGGAGCCCAAAATTGTGTGTGGAGCTTATTTAAAATAGATAGATAGATGAAAAATAGAAGAAGCAGAAACATGCAAGGACCCGACACACCCTCCTTCTGTTGGCTAAAGCATCATGTGGCTGAGCCCAAAGTCAGGCAGTGGAGAAATATCTGTCCCTCTGGGAGGAATGCAGGGAGGGATGAGGGATTGCCACTAACAACACAATCTGCCAGGGTAGCTTTCGGCGCATGTTTTATTTTTGAAAATTCCTTTTGCGTTCTCCTTTTCTATTTTTGTTCTCAGAGAAACTCAATGATTCATTTCCTTCTGAGTAATGTTACTTAAAGTTTTATAAAGAAGAGGAGGCGAGGTATACCAAATAGGTTAGTCCTATTTATGTGAATGTGGAGGTAGGTGGTGGAGTAAGAGCTTACATTTGCCTACAGAGGGCATGGAGGTAGGCCCACTTTTCTCTGGCCTTTCCCCTCCCTGGCGCAGAGTCAGTGGTCATCGTGTTAGACACAGACAGACTCCCACTGCGCAGCAAGCAACCTTAGAATGACAAAGCCATGTTTTGGTGGAAGTTACTCTCACCTCTGTCCATAGTGGGGTGCCTCATTGTTAGAAGGTGGAGGAGGGACAGTAGAGTACCCTCCAGACTGAGAAGGCACTTTGAGACTGAAAAGCAAAGCAAGTCACTCCATACCATTTACATGGAGTTTTATTCAGGGTAACTTACTGATGGGGGGATCAGGTAGACCACGATCTTGGTGCTACATACCTACTCTCCACAAATTCACCCAGACCTTAATCCACAGCTTTATAGAACAGGGAGCTTTCTGGTGAGGTCAAAGGGTGGTCATCTAAAGTGGTGCCATGTGTGCACTAGAGGGAAGATCAGAATAAGCCTTCCCAAATTCCATTCAGGGCACACATTAACCTCCAAAGGCCCTGGAGCACGTAGGCGCGAGGGAGGTCATTGCACGGACATGAGCAGGATGGAGTCAGGATTTTCAACACTCCTACACCCTGTGTGAGTGAGTTGCTGTTGAAATTGTGAAAGTTTATTGTGGTCAATTTAAAAGACTCAGCCTTCTAAAATCTTATTCTTAATCTTATTCTTACTTGTGGCAAATCATGCGCTTTGTCTACGTTTGTAGCTTCAGCCAAAACCGTAATCACACTATACACCCCTTGACAGCAGAGACAGACTTTGTCATCTCTTTAAAGGACAACAAGGTAGTGGACAGGGGAATCGACTCAGTTTGGGTGGACTGGGAAGGTGACTTTGAGGAGAACATTTGAGCAGAAGCTTGGATGGTGGGAAGAACTAGCCATGTGAAGATCTGGGCCCAGAGTCTTCCAGGCAGAAGGAACAGCAAATGCACAAGCCCTGGGTGGGTTTTGAGGCTGGGACATGTTCAAGGAACAGAACAAAAGAAGGGGGAGAGTGATAGGCCAAACCAGGCCATTCAGGGCTTAGGGTAGTGATTTGGATTTCATCGTAAGGGAGTTAGGAGGGCTTTTAGGAGAAGAGTGACATGAGCAGATCTTTTACTTTTTTTTTTTTTAAGATTTTATTTATCTGAGAGAGAGAGCACAAACAGGGGGACCAGGCAGAGGGAGAAGCAGACTCCCCACTGAGCAAAGAGCCCGATGCGGGACTTAGTCCCAAGACCCTGGGATCCTGACCTGAGCTGAAGGCAGACGCTTAACCGACTGAGCCACCCAGGCACCCCACAGATTTTTTACTTTTTTTTTTTAAAGATT